TAACCCCACTCCCATCCTTCTCTCTTTTATATACCATAATTTTTATTTCTTTCCTGGGTCCTTTGGAATTACATAATTAATTTTTTCATTTCATGTTGCTTGTGTTGTTAATTTCAAACAATTCATCATTCAATTTTTTCCTTTCATAAGGAAGACAGTACTTTGACAACACTGAGATCTGTATGGAACTATGTAGCCTCTTCTTCCATCTAGTGGTGATAGTGTACTATTACCCTTTAAGAGGCCTCTGCTTCCATCTAGTGGTTATACTGCAGTATTACACCATGAAGAAAATTGCTGGGCTTCAGTGCCATGCACTCACTTTCCTCTAAAAGGGAGCAAGATTCTTCCATGTACCCATGCCTATGACAGCGGATTCTCTATCTCAGGAATGGTGTGAAGGGAATGAAAATAGAATGATAGAATGGAGTGATGCTGTACTGGAGTTCCAGGAATGCTAGGAACCAGAAGAGAAAACAGGATTGCTGTGTGAGGCGGTCTTTTGGGTGAATAGAGAATTCCCCCTACTGTATGTACTTGTCACATTCGATTATATTTCCAACATACCAAAGCAATTAAATTTTTAAAAAATCAAAGCAAATGAACTAATCACTTAATGTCTCTAAAGTCTTAGTTCATTCACACAGTTGGCCCTTCATATCCACAGCTTCCTTTCTATGGATTCAACCAACCCTAGATCCAAAATTTTCAGAAAACAATTGCATCTGTACTGAACATATACAGACATTTTTTTCATCATTATTTCCTAAACATTACCGTGTAACAACTATTTACATGTATACTTTACAGTGTATGTACATTGTACTGGGCTTTATAAGTAATCTAGGAATGATTTAAAGTATGTTAGGCTATGGGTGCAGATTATATGCAATTGCTATGAGGAGGAGAAGTAGTAGTAGTAGTTTTGAAGCAAAAAAAAAAAAACCACACATAAAAGCACCCAGACATGGTGGCACACAGCCTATAATGTGTGCTGTGTAAGCATCCTTGGATTTTAGCAAACTCAGTTGTCCTAGAAACTATTCTCCACTAATACCACAGATGGTAGATAAAAGATAGAAGGATGGGGGAAGGGTTAGTCTAAATGATTTCCAAAGTCCCTTTTATTTCAATATTTTATGACTACAATTTCAGCTCAATGTATTTTGCCTTCGTGACATCCTGAAGCTACATTGGGAAACTTCTGGGAGCTTGGGATTTGTTTAGATTAGACATATTTAAGAAAGGTTAAATAAAACTTCAGTTGTTTTGTTTCTTTCACTTCCCCTTTTTAGGTATAATAATAACTACATATTCTGAGATGAATATCAGGGATAAAGCCATGCTATTCCAAGTTTTCTCTTTGGCTCCTTGCCAAAAAAAAAAAAAAAATCAAACTGCCTGACATCACCAGAGTGGAAGAAGAGTGAACAGGAGGCAATTTGTGCAAGGGAGAGTGTAAGCTATTACAAAATTCTCCAGGGATCCTATGACTCATTTTGTTTCCTGGTAGTTACCGCTTTCTAATTTTGACAGATGTGGTTTTCTGCTTTTTTCCTTAAGAAGCTTACTGGGCTTGCAAAGGAGAGTACTAACGGGATAAGGTTAAGGAGCCAACTCAGCAGCAACAGAGACAGATGCTTTGTTGTAATTGAACTAAAACCCTAAGACCATCTATGAGCCAACTCTTTCTAATTTAAGACATTGCCTTATTTTATTGTTACACAAATCATTTTCCACATAAAATTAATCACCAAAAACATAAACTGCTTTTGTTTCTTCCTTAATGCTAATATTCATATAAGTAGTTGGCACAGAAAATGTCATTCAATAAAAAGGTCAGACAAATCCTCATCGCTGATTTGTCTCTACTATGCATAAGGAGACACCCAGGACATCCTAACAAGATTGAAGTGAAGAGGCATATGATCTCTCAAATATTTCTGAAAACAATTGCCCCCAAAGCTCCACTGAGCTCTGTAATGCAGACAGCTACTACTTTAGAGGTTCGTTCTTTTAGGTGAAGCTGTTGCTTCTAGGAGTTCCTTCTTAATGTCTTGCTTATTCTTTATCAACTACTAATGTTTCATCAAAGATAGTTTTAAGATGGTAGGTTGTAGAATTTTGATGAGAAAGATATGTTAAGCACGAATTGACCTGTCAGTCAGAATTTCCCCAACTGGGTATCCTGAAGGAGCACTTCTGTAAAAATATTAGTGACTATTGTGAATTTTTTTCAAGGGGGATTTGAGGTAAAATAAGTTAGAGAAACACAGAATTAAACAGGGTTTTTCCTATAGTCTTTACTATATTAACATTCATTCATTATTCAACAAATATTTATTAAACACTGTCTTTATGCCAAAGAGGGTTATAAGTGCTTGCGATACCCCAGAGAATAAAACAGACAAATATCATTTCCTTATAGAACTCACATTCTAGCAAGACGAGACAGACTGAACAATATATTTCATTTTATACATATACATATATTTTATTGTATATGTAACATATATTTTACTGTATAGGTATACATATATTTTATTGTATATATTATATAGTAATATAATATAAATGCATATATATTATATATATATATATACATATGTATTATATAAAACACACTAAGTGAGGTCTAAGAGAGACTGGTAACACATGTTTGAGAAGGAAAAGAAGTATATTGATTTTTTCAAAGGGTGACCAGAATATGTTTCAAATAAATAAATGACATTTGAGCAAAGGTTCAAATTTGTTAGGGGAATTTATAATACAGATAATCTGGATGATAAGAGTTGGAATTTTGAGATAAGAGCCAAGACTAATGATATAAAATTGGGAACACTTGGTATTTAGATGATTTTTGGTTTGGGTTTTCTAAGATGTGATTTCTTTACAATTCTTTTTCATTTGGATTTTATATTTAATTGGCCAAGAATTGTATGTGTGGCCTGCAATGTGATGTTTTGATAATTGCATCTATTGCAGAATGATTACAGGAAGCTAATATATATATCACCTCATGTTCTTAACCATTTTTGTAGTGAAAATATTTAAAATCTGCTCTTTTAGCAATTTTGAAATATGCAATACACTATAATTAACTACGGTCRCTGTGATGTGCAATATACTTTGTAAGCTTAATGCTCCTAACTGAAACTTTTAAGTCTAAAGACTTGATGATCACTAAGGGATTGAGTTGCTAGACAAGACAAGCACCCAAGAGCTTATGGCCACTCCAGTGTTATAAGATCTGACATAAAAGGGAGAATTTGATAATCAGACTGAGCGAAAATGATCAGAGAGGGAGGAAAACAAGAGTAGAGAATCCCAGAAGTCAGATGAAGAAAGCATTTCAAGATGTGGAGAGAGACTAGATGTGCCAGTGGTCCCAAAAGATGGAGCAAGATAGGGATGGAGAATAGGTTTGTGAACTTACATCCTCCTTGTTACTAAAAAACAAGAACACTTTCACTGTACCACATAATGAGAACTGTGCCTCTTTGATAGGGAAATAAAATGTATAGCACTCCACTAACTCATTTAGCACAGAACACTTTCCACACAACATCTCCAGGGTAGCCAAGAACTTCTCTGGGAAGTGCTGGTAAAGATCATGGGTACTCAGGGCAAACAGCAGATCCAAGTACTGGGGCCAAGGAGCCAGAGCCCCGGATCCCATCAGAATACTGAAGTGGAAGATATTGAAAACAAACTCTGAATGAGATGTTACCACAGTGTAATTCTCTATCCTCCAAAATGACAGTGATTAAGACCAGCAACTGTTCTTATTGTCCTTCCATTGACCCAACAAAGAAGAAGAATGCTTACTGACAGAGAAATACATGAAAAATTGTCCAAAACTCTCTAGCTACTGAGGAAATTAAAATTAAAACTACAACAACCATTGGATTGGTTAACATTTAAAAACCTGATAATGCCAATGTGGGAAAAAAAAGGGTTTTAAGAAATTTCATTTAGGCTTGGGTTGTGGCACAGAGGTAGAGTGCTCGCCTCACACATGTGAGACCCTGGGTTTGATCCTCAGCACCACATAAAAATAAATAAGTGAAATAAAAGTATTGTGTCCAACTACAACTAAAAAATAAATATTTTTTTAAAAAAAATTTGAGAAATTCCTTCACAACACTGTATTCTGGGAAGAAAATGACATTCTTCCTAAATCCTAGTGAACAAGTCACTTATTACTTACACTGCTCACCTTGTGGTATTCCAGTTGGAGAAATTTAATTTTACTGACATATGCATTCACTGGTACTTTGCATTACATGCAGGGAATATTTCCAGAGAATATTTCTGCTTGATGTGGGCAAGTATCTTTAGGAATGCATACGTACATAAATTAATAGTAACAGTATGTGCTTTGCACCCTGCTCAGGACTAAGTCATTTCTTATTTATTAGGTTGCTGAACCTTAAATTGAACCACTTTTGGGGGGGTARGGTGCTGGGGATTAACTCAGACTCAGGGGTACTTACTCAACCACTGAGCCCCATTTTGTATTTTATTTAGAGATAGGGTCTCACTGAGTTGCTTAGCCCCTCACTTTTGCTGAGGCTGGCTTTGAACTCCCAATCCTCCTGACTCAGCCTTCTGAGCCACTGGGATTACAGATGTTCACCTCCATGCCTGGCTAAATTGAACCACATTTTTTCTCAAATATTGAATAGGCCATCATCTTAAAATATGATTGTTTACCCGATAAAAGTAATAATTTAATATTTTGTTTGTGCTACAGCAGTCTGTATGCTTTGGGGGAGAAAAGGATTCCTTTCTGGATTAAAATGAGTCATAGGGTTAAAAAAACAGTCTTGAAATGTGTAATTAAGATTAATGATCATATTTTTCTCATATTAAGCATATTACTCTACAGAGTCATTAAATTTATTCAAATGATATTGCATTGGATTAAGAGGATTAATGCCTAACCTCACTTCTTTGTCTACCCAGGACTGCAGCCCAGAGTTTATTGAATAGGGAAGGGATAAAGCATCTCACTAAGAACCCTCCCTGCAAAGAGGGACTCAAGGTTGTAAACCGAAAATGAAAAATCTGCCTTGTTTTCTTTAAATTTCAGATGATCTAGGCAGACATGAGCCTGTAAATGATGTGACTCTATCTAATCTACTGAAACTAGGGCAGTATTGAAGGCAGTGGCTCCTTTTCTTTTTTTTTAACTTGGCATGCTATCTATTTTTTTAAAGATACATGAAGAAGAAATCTCAATAACAATACTAGCTGCATCCACCTGCATTCCTTTCTTCTGGAAGAGATGGTCCTAGCTTCCCAGTTGATCTTCTTCACCTGCATCTGGATCACATTAATATCAAATGCTTTTGCTACTTCTCACACCAAGAAGACCTCCCACCGGTGCTCCACTTCAGTGAAACACACCCGGTAAGACTCCACAGTTTAGTCCATGCAAGTATTTTCTGTTTTTTCTTATCAGCTGCTTCAGGCCTATTGGAAATCCAGAAACATATCTCTAATGGAAATACATCTTTGTGGCAGTGTCTATCTCTGAAAATAGCATTCACTCATCAAAATAAGTACCCCCTGGTGGACATCAGAAAGAGAAAAATCCTGCATCTCTGCTAGAGTTTGTATGCTTATTTTTAACCAATTTTTGGAGAATATCATTAAATGGTTCATGTAGGGATCCTCTTTCAGAAAACGTATTTCTTCCATGAGTAATACATTTATTATTAATAATGACATTTAATGTTTCTTCAGATTTTTTTTTAGTAGAAAATAGTCTAAGTGGCAACTTCTTTTAATGTCAAGTACTATCATATAGAATCATATATTGAGATAGTATCAAAARGCATTAAGGCCATGTGTTGTCTTTGGAGAATAGTTCCCACACATTAAAAATACCCTCCCAAATATCAACACATCACCATTGTTATTTTGCCATAAATAACTCCAAGAGTTTTCTGGATATATGGTGAGGAAGGTACTTATCTGTTCCGGTGACCAACCCATCACTCACTACTTGCTGTGACTTTGCAGATTTTAGCACTACAGTTCCAAGAATCCCTTCCGATTGGCACCTGAAAATATTGGTCACTCTATTACCCATACATGCTTAAAAAAACAAGGAATGTCTTTGGGAAGGTCTCCCCTTTTTACAAAATTTTGAAAAAAGACCCAAAAGGAGAAAGTGAGGGAAGAAGAGGAGTAATATCCTCCAGTCAATTCTGGCAGTCAATGAAGTGACAAAGGTTTCAGCCAGATTGCTCTCAYACCTTGAATATTTATAAAAAATATTCACCAGAAGATTAAGAAGGAGAATACAGGATTGTAACATTTGTCTTCTGAAATTTTAATGGACCAACATTGAAAGGGAAGAGTGACTAGAGTCCTGACTTCTTGCTCTGCTCTTAAAAATCAAGGCCTTCCTCCCACATTTTCCTTCCATTCTCCCAGACTCCCGATTTGAAATGAGGTAAGGTCTTGTACAGTTTAACCACTTCAGAGCCTTCTCTGGGGGCAATTAGAAAAGAAAATATTTGGGAACTATAGTATTCTACCACCAAACTTATGTGGGTTTTTTTCCAGATTACTTACACAATTCATGTAGTATATTTTATCTATTTTTAAAATAAATGAAGACTGCTTAAATATCATGCGCCATTTAAACTGTGGGGGATTTGTCCAATCTGCAGAGTAAATGTTTAGACAAGAAGAAAATTTGTTGTAGAAGCTAATCCACTGTCGTGGCCCACTGTCAATGGCAGAAACTAAGGACGGTATTGAACGCAGTGTCTCTGCAGAAAAATCTGCCCACTGTCCTTTTTAGGTGTCTTTTAAGGACAGTAAGGGAACATAAATTCTCTGTGGCAGGGTGGAAATTTTTCTCTTCTGTTAAGTGCCTCGTTTTAGATCCCATTAAAAGGAAGAGAAAATTTTACAGACTATGCAAGCCAGATTTCCTCCAGAGGAACCACCCCCCTCCAGGTTTCTGCTACAAGAGGTCTAACATGTTTGTTTTCGCTTCTTTATATCCTGAATGAAATGCCCCTGTGAGCCACAAACTAGAATACAATTCATTAAAATTTATATCTGCTTCTTTTGTTCTTCAAAGAAAAATCCTGTAGGGCACTGGGGACCGAGTAAACCAGAAGTAGCCACTTAGAATGAAACCAGGCACTTTCCCTTAGTGAATAATTCAGCCAGCCAATTTCTGAGCTGTCACTCAGGATCTCTTGTGCARATTCTAAAGCATTTGACAAAAAATACATAAATTACTATACAGGGTAGTTTTTAGAGAAAAGAGCCCAAGATTTATTATGYGAGGGTTTTTCCCCAATATCCAACCTGATCACCAACAAATAAGAAATGAATGAATTAATAATCTACCCCTTCATAATGCAAAAGAACTAACAGAGTGAACATGAAAGGAAGTCATGGTCTTCCTTTGAAAATTATGTAGTGCATTTTTATCCCTCACTTTGAATTTATACACATCATCTTGAACCTACTTTCATGCAATCTAGCCCTTAAGTGCTTTGTTATTAACTATTTTCATTGGGAATATGACCTTATTTGTTATATGAACATTCACTTTTCTTAATCTAAAGATTTCTTTTAAAATCTTTGCTTCAAAAATGTCCTTTATTTCTTAAAAACAAAGCAGGGGAGAACGTGAACAAAGAAAGTTTTGGCAAACGAAAATGTCCCTCTTTTGCCTGAGGAGAAAATCTGGCTCCCTAGTAATGCAAAAAGGAGGAGATATATAGACTCATTGAATACTTAGTCTTTCTTTCAACAATCTTATTGAGTGACCTTCACATGAAAGTGCTGCGTTGGGGGTTGATGATACCATGGAAATGACACACTGACCCTGGCCTTAAGAATAATCAGCAGAGCACTAGAATCTGTGCCACCAAGCTTGATAAATTTTCATAAAATTTGTATGCTGTTAAAAAAATTATTAAAAATTAAGTTGTACAAATTTATAATTAAATAAGTTATTTTTAATTCAAAGGCAAATATTTAACTCACCACTTCCTAATTACTTTACTAAATTTGGCTATCGTCTAAGGTCTTGAGATTATTTAGGCTTAGAATATCTCTATGGTAGAATTACTTCAATATGCCATACCATATCATCTTATGCCATACTGGATTAGTCTATAATATGCTAGTCCATAGTATTCCGTACCCTATTGTTATGTATGTACTATAATAGGGACAATCTCTGTCTTGAAGTTCAGTAACTTGTGGAAGTATTCTACTTCATGGAAATAAAACAAAATTCACTTGATATAAATAAATACTACAAATCAAGGCTTTTTTAAACCTGGAGAGCCACTTGTTAAACAACTATCAATATCTCCCTAAGCCCACTGTAAAAGTCAGTAAGGACCTAGAGATTGCAAATTCAAATGCAACTGCAAGCAAGTAAGACTGAAGAGAGAAGTAGAAACTCCGATTGCAGGATATATGCTCTTCTGAGGTGTGTCTCATCAGGTTCAGCCTCCTCTTATAAGAGAATCTGAGCACAGTGTTACCAGATATTCTGATTTTTCAAAGGAAACAGGAGTCCCAGTTTTCATATGAGATTTTCCAATTTAATACATCATGGGAGATATCCAAAATATGTCTGCAGACTAGCTCTTAATCTGGTCCAATTTTCTCATTTTGCAAATAAGGAAACTGAGGCCTCACCACTGAACTTGTGTGCTGACAGAGACCTAAGGGAGATATAGGAACCGCTGTGTTTCAACTGGAGCATTTTTCATGGTTGGCTCTTTCACAGAAACGTTCATCTGCATTAAAAAATGGACTATTGAATAAAGTCAAGTATGCATTCTCAGAATTCAGGTGTTCAGGAGTCCTTACATAAGGCCACAAGTGTCACTCTATTTAATGTGCCATGTCCTCTCTAAGGCACCTCACAAGCATCAGGGGCCTGGAAATAAACATTGGATCCATAATTATGAAGATTTTCTTAATCAAACATTGAACCAACTGATTTTCCCACTACTTTTACTTTATTCCTTGGATTTGCATCTATCACTCTAATAAACTTTTTTGTTATATTTTGTATTTTTCTAAAGAAAAATAATGTCTATAAAATTATTTTAAAGTTTGCCTATATGCTTGGAACAATAAACTGCGCTTCAGTGTGCACTGGTTCATATCAAAGTGAGAAAAAATAACCATGTTAACAATAAGACATGCTTCTAGAATGACAAGAAGAGTGATAAGGTAAGCAATTCTAGAGAGAAGGTCCAACTTGGTCTACATCATTTATAAATCATTACACAAATAACACTATAACAGTAATGGGTTTTTGCATGGAAAAGTACCAAAATAATCTCCATTATGCTTCTCTTTTCTAAATTGAGTTTCAATCCTAATTCATATACCTGGTTAAAGTTACAGCATAGAAAGTATTTTATATTTTCTTAAATTAAGCATTTTCCTCATTGTTTCATTGATACTCTAATATTTTTCAACACTTCATATTACTAATTGGAATTAAAGAATGAGAATTAATTCCTTCAGTATTGAACATTTATTTTCAGCTTTGCACTGCTATAAGTAACAGCAATAAATATTTGCAYTCATGTTTTTATTTCCTCTACTAATAAAAATTATAATTTTCTGGAATTGAATTACTGAGTCAAAGCATATAAAATATCTTTATGGCTCCTGAGATTAAATTCTAAAAGAGTTTTCCAATAATTATTCTCCCACCTTCAAGGTTTAAATACTCCCATTTCATCATATCCTTATCAGTATAGGGCACTAACACTATTTTTTGTCTTCTATGCATTAGTAAGAATAAAATAGTAGTTGTAGTTTTAATTGGTGTCTCACTGTTAACCCTTTCAATTAAACTTTTAAATATACTTGTTAATTACAACCTCCCTTGGGTAAATAGTCTATTCATGTGAGGCCTAGTTGTTTTTAAGTTCTGATTCTAGTGGACTAATCAAATATACAGGTCTCCAAACTCTTGGGAAAACAGTTCTGTAAAGCATCCAACAAAGTGTGACTCAATTAATATGAGATTTTTTTTCCTTTCATTAATGAGAGTCTAAAGCATCAGAATGAGTTAGGTGTTTTTGTTTTCTGTCAACCAATTCCAGTACTTTAAAAATCTTTCCCTAGTATGTCTTCTTCAAAGACTTTCTTAGTTCCCCTGAGACTTCAGACTAAGTCCTAAGTCAAAGTCCTTGGTCAACTATTACCAAGATGTACACCTCTCTCTAACAATGTTCAMAGCACTTTGTGGGCTAAGGCAAAGACTAAGAATGCTGGTGTACCCGTCTTCCATCAATTGAGATTTCTTTGTTTGATCCCATCAGGACTTCTGGAAGAGCCTTTTTTTCAGACAGAAGTTATTCAATAGCTTTCTCTCAGTAACTATGAAAACTGAAGTCATTTCTTCTAGAATGGGGAAGAGGCCAGAAGGTACACAGAATGGTTTAAAATATTGCATACCTGGAATAAGACTAGAAAGTTCTGGGCTGAACCTTATGCTCTGCACATATAAGTAACAGAAATAAATATTTGCTGTTCAGTAAACGTATTTGCTTCTTTTTTGTTTTGTTTCTTTCTTTATTTCATTAACTTTTTAATGTATTTTGATAATCCAGAGGCCTTTAAACCAGGCATCTATATTCCTGAGGTTTATCTCTATGGGAACATGCAGGCTACCTGAGAGACWGGTGGACATGCATAGTTTTTAAACAGTTTAACTTTCTTTTGACCTTTTTGCTAAAACTCCACCTGAAAACTCAGCTGTCTTCAGTGATTACTCTGTCCAACTTGAAAAAGTTAAAGTGTACCTCTCTCTCTTCCTAGATCCTACTCTGTGCATGGCCCCAGGGTGTAATAACTTCCTGGGAACAAAGAGACATTCCCCCCACCCAAAATGTAAAGGGATGACTGTATGATACATCCTTTTCCAAACTAGATGATTTACTATTTTTTTGCTTTCAACAAAACTAGAGAGAAAGAACCTAATTAATTTGTTAGTTAAAACCCATTAAAAATGACTGTTGATATATAATACAATGTGAATTTGAAAAACATGTCAGAAGAAATTTAAATAATTGTTACATTGCTAAGACAACATTAAAAATATTAAATTCCATATACTTATATATGAACAAATGTTTTCAACATTTCATCTATTAAAAATAAAAAATAGAAACAAAATTCTTGATAAACCCAGTTTCATTCTAGCAATAAGTAACATCTATTCACTTATACATAAAAGAATTAGGAAAAATATACCATCATTCCATAAACAAATGTGTTTCCACTAAAATTTCATTCTTAATTTTAATAAGAATCAATATTTACTTCAGCCATGCTTTGCTTTGTTTTTGATGGTTATAGAAAACAAAATAAAACAAAAAGYTAATTTCAATCTACACACAGTTTTCTTGAGAAGACATATTATAGGGTGGTTAAAATTCTATGGAGAAGCCGGGTACAATGACACATACCTATAATTCCAGCAGATCAGAAGGCAGAAGCAGAAGGATCTCAAGTTCAAAGCCATCCTCATAAACTTAGGGAGGCTCTAAGCAACTTAGTGAGACCCTGTCTCAAAAAGGGGGACTTGGGGCTGAGGGTGTGACTCAGTGATAAAGTGCCCTGGGTTTCATAAAGTCCCCTTTGTTCAATCTCTGGCATTTACATACGTACATACATACATAAATAAATTTCTACRGGGGAAATAAGATGGAAAGACAAGTTTGAAGAAAAGAAAGAGTAATCACTAATTATAGAAACACTATAAAATTTCTAATATTTTAAATAAGAATTTGCTTATATATTTTTAAGTAGTTCAAATTCATTGGCTACATTTAAATGATGAATATAAGTTTTCTCTTATTCATAAATATTTAAGTAATTTTAAAACTTATGACAGAAAAACTGAAGAGGTCTATTTAAGTATATGTGGAGAAGCAGGTAATCTCCAAAATTCCTTTAGAGGGTAGGTATACAAGCACCAAATTCCTTTTTGGGAAATAGATGAGATTTAAAAAATGGTAAAAATAGATAAATATGGAACATGTAAGAAGAGCCCTTAGGTCAAAAACAGATGCCTGTGTTTTCAAGTGTTGCCAAGAGAGCATTTCACAACAGTCTGTGTGTTCAGTGTTCTTGGAATTCTTAATTAAAATTTATCCTTTTCAATCTCATGGAGAGATAAGTTTTATAAAARGTACATTAGTGACATGTCATTTAATAGTATTATTAAAATATTATTAGCAAAGGAGTAATTTTTTTAAGTTGACAAWGTTACATTTCCATTTTTCTTAAAATAATAGCAAATAAGTAGCTTTTATTAAATRTCCACTATTTTCTAGGGCAGTGGCTCTCCTGAGAAATTGTTATAATGCAAATTCTCATATTCAAAAGCTATTGAATGAATCAGAAACTGTGGGCATCAGGCCCAGGAAACCAGATGTTTTGGATGCATGCCAAAGAAGATAATATTTACAAAACATCTGCCATGACGCCTTGARCATAGTAGGCATTTAATAAAACCCAGCTGCTATTACTTTTTAAATAAATAGTTCATTTTAGCTCCCTAGAAGATTTTTTCTAGTTTAGCTTCTTGAAACAAATAGTTCTATGTGTTCCATTATTCATAAGATAAAATGTCTTGACATATTTAGAGTCAAACTTAATGCCTTCTACCAACATCAGATTTTTTTCCTCCCAGTTTCTTTATTCCTATCATTAGAAAAAGTATGTCTGYTGACCTCAGAGATTTCCAGAAATTGCCCCATTGAAAGACCACACTGGATGATCTCAGGAGAACACATGCCCAGACACATCTCTTCAACTGCTCACAAACTGAAATTCTCCCCCATCAAAGTAATTTTACTGAGTTAGAAAATTGTCTCCAGCTGGGCATGGTGGCGCAGGCCTGGAATTCCAGCCTTTCAGGAGGCTGAGGCAGGAGGATTCCAAGTTTGAGGCCAGCCTCAACAACTTAGCAAGACCTTGTCTGTAAATAAAAATAAAAAGGGCTGGGGGTATAGCTCAGTGTTGAACACCCTGGTTTCAATTACAGGCACAAAAAAAATTTTAAATCCTCAGTACCCCCCAAAATAAATAAATAAATACATTGCCTCCAACAGTCTAGAGTTAAAATTGACCTCGATTGCTTAAAGAAGATATTTGTTTATCCAGATGGATATTGGGAATTCAGAGTAACTAGATTCACCCAGAAGTYCCATGAGAGTCTTGCCTTACTGTGGCTGCAGACCACCATGATATTTTTCTAGAAGGGGAATCTGAGGAGGGTCTCCTGCACAAGAAGACTGCAGCTCACAAAGGAGCTGGGCTCTCCCAGACACTGCCTCCACACTCACAATGACGCTGGGAAGCAGGTATCTCAGGGCAAAAGTGAGTCTGAGAATCCAGCAGTGTGCCCAAGTTCACAGACCCAGGGAGACAGGACTTTGTTCCCACATCAGGACACTTTCGGAGAGGCCATCGTCACCTTGCCTTTGCCCTAGAGAACTATGGTTAAAAAAACACTTTACATCCTTCACAGTTTGGYTTGCGTGGGTCCAAGCATTGCCATCCCTGTGTCCTAGAACCTCTGCAAGTCATTCTGCCAGGATTTCAGCCTGCTCCCAAATTTTCTTTTTATTTTGTCTTTGTAAAACATTTTTCTCATCAGTTTACAATTTTGCAATGCTTTTTTTTTTCCACTGTTTTAATACAGAGACTGTTCAACTTCAGTAATCCCCAAAATTATGTAGTGACTTGGTTGTTTCCATGAAAACCRATTTAGTTGTTCTGGGATGGGGGTCCATGAATATGTGAATGTGAATTTTGACCACCTTCACCCAAGTAATTGAGATATCCCAAGACTATCAACCAGATTGTGAGAAATGTTGCCTATTTGGACATGAAATCTATACTCACTGTGTCATTTCGAGTGCTCCAAATTTGGTTTATCATACCTGCTCCATCCTTACATAATAAAGAGTAAATATTGCTATTTGCATAATATGAACTCAGGAAATGAGATTTTATGTAATTATTTCAGAACAGGCTATGTTGAGCACAGATGGATAACATAAACAAAAATATCCAGAAGTTAGCCAGACAAAGTGGTACACCATTATGATCCCAGTGACTTGGGAGGTAGAGGCAAGAGCATCTCAAGTTCCAGACCAGCCTCAGAAACTTAGTGAGAACCTCTGCAACTTAGCAAGACCCTGTCTCAAAAGAAAAAATWAAAAGGACTAGGGGTTGTAGCTCAGCAGTAAAGTAAAACCCCTGAGTTCAAGCTCTAGTACCCCCACGAAATTCAAAAGCATGTATATCTCAAAAGTATTATTTTTCTTTTGGGGTGGGACAGCAAACAAGAAGCTAGAATGAGGAAGGATGACAGTACCAAAGTGAGGCCCCTGAAATATAAGCAACTTCTCCACATAGAGGACCATGATTTTGCAATAAGACCTGGATTTGGAGGTGAGTATTATCTTTATAAAACTCATGTTAAAACTCATTGTACTGCTAAAATGGAGTTAAAAATTAGAAGCAATTAAGGTCAAACATAAGACCATCAGTTAAAAAAACTTACAATAACTTCTTCTGAATGAGAACAATTAGAAATTTATCCATTTTAACTTGAATGAAATCGACACAGGTCATTAAAATGGGTTGGAAATCATAGTCTAGAACTTACTGTGTAATTTATTATCATTAATAACATTAATGATAGTAATAATGAGAATTACTAATCATACATTTATTACTTTTCTCAAAATAATAGGATTATAAAAAATATTTCAAAGTTACCATAAATGGTATATTTGTTGTTCAGTTTCAGTTTGGGGGGTTGGGGGGAGAAGGGTACTGGGGATTGAAGCCAGGAGCTTTACCACTGAGCTATACAACTAGCCCTTTTTCTTTCTTTCTTTCTTTATTTTTATTTTGAGACAGGTTCTCACTAAGTTGCTTAAGGCCTTGCTGAGATGATGAGGCTGGCCTTGAACTTGCAATCCCCCTGTCTCAGTCTCCCAAGTGGCTGAGATTACAATCACATGCCACCATATGTCTTGCCTCAATACCAGCTTACTTCTTTATTCACGATGTATAAATTCAATAACATGATGTTAATTATGAAATCTTGTTCAATATTCTTATGAGCTAGAATGCCTGACTTTCATGGAAGAACTATAGTATATCAAATGCCATGGCTCCCTATGAACCAATTTTGCTGAACTATTGTTGCTGTTTGTCACTTTTAATGATTAAAATTGATAACCAAAAAAAAATTAGGTAGTGTGTTAAGCCCTGAAATGCACTGTTACTTCACTGTCACAGTGATCCTATGGAATAGGCACTATCATAACTCTTAATAATCCAGTGTGGAAACTGTGGCTTAGAGAGTTTGGGAGATTTGCTCAAGACCATGGAAGTAGTAAGTGGTAGAAAAGATGCATGACAAGTCAGGGGAATGGGAGGAGGCCCTGGGAGAGGTGTGTGCTTGGATCAAAGTGTATTCCCTTCAGATTCTTCCACATCACTGAGGGCACCAAGTTTTCCAGTAAAGTGCAGGGTGTGGTGAAATCAACCAGTTAAAATGAACTCTCGGAACCCAACTGATTCCCTTTTCATTGACCCCTTTGGAGACTCCACTCCAAAAATTCCTGAACTGACAACTTTCCAGACTCCTGGAAATCTGCAGCTAGAGCAGTGTAGATGAGGGGGAGAAGCAAGGTCCTCTGGCTATAAAACAGAATAACTTTTGATGAATAACTAACAACTCACCATTCAAGTGGGGTGGAGGACATTTCATCCTCCTGTCATATTGTGTTTATGGCCAACAGGCATGTAAATGCCCTCCATACATAATTTGTTAACAGGAATTTTTTTTAAGTATGTTAGGTAGTTGTATGTTGAGGGCTATTTTGTCATGTTTTGATTTTTTTTTTAATTTTCTGGAATCCATTGGGTTGCAACACTAAGAACTTGATCTTAACTCCTTACATTGGAGACTCAAACTTTCCTGAACATCTGAATCACATGAAGGGTCCTTACCATGCCCCACCCACAGCACTTCTGAAGCACTGGAATGGGGTGACTCCAACAATTTGCATTTCTAAAAATTTCTAAAAATTTTCTTAATGAGGCTGATTCTGCTGGTATGTGAATCACATTTTGAGAACCACTGCATTAGATTACCAGCATCACATTAAATGTTAGTGAGTTTAATTTTTTTGTTTTTTGTTTTCTGGTTGTTTCTGACACTTATTAAATCCTAATTTAAGATTGTATAGGACTTGAAACTCACAAACTTAGAACTGTGTTCATTTTCTTTCCTCCTAGTATCTCTATCTCTCTATCTCTATCTATATCTATATCTGTATCTATATCTCTTCCCCCTCCCTTCCTCCTTCCTTCCCTTATCGGTCTCCCTCTGCCTCTCTTTCTCTCCTTCACTATTTCTTAAATATATCATCTTTCCCAAATTCCAAAGATATTTGAATTTTCCACTGTTCTCAATGGACTGTTTCTCACCCCATCAAATTTTCCCAAAGTTTGTATACTATGCCCTATAACCACCATTCAGGTGTTCTCTTCCTTGGTCTGTATGATTTTAYGAAAACTTTGTGAAATATTTCTTCTATCATCACCTCTTAGAGGCCAGAAACCCAGTTACACTTGCCGGCTACTGGTCTCATTAGCCACTAGAGGGCGCCAGTGGCACGGGAATGGTTGCAACTGTCTCAGGCGCCACAGCTGGAAGCTCGACACGGTGGAAACGCCAATTCCAAAAGCTGCCCTAATTCCTAACAGGTTAAGTTCCTCAGTCAAATTACTTTCTATTCTAGAGGAAAGAGTTTCTGAAGGGATTACTTTAGGCCGCTGAAAGTCAGAGTCAGTGACAGAATCACTGTCCTTGAATGTGAACCTTGAAATAAGCAGCCCACAGACACCTCTCTCAGACTGGTACAAGGATCAGCTGCAGAATCACTGGGGAGTTCTCCTAAGTGCAGAAGCTCAGGCCCCAATTCAGGACTCCTGAATCAAAACTAGCATTGTAACAGGATCCCCTGGTGATTGACCTATGCTTGACAGTTTGAGACCTGCTGCTAGAGATTATTAAATGCCTAACCACCACTATTATCTCAAAACATATGCCTTTACTCTCCATCACCTATATCATCCCCAGCCCACAGAGCAACATAAAATTAACCCTAAAGTTCCCCTTTGTTTGATCTGTTAAGATATTTTTAAGTGATAATGTATTTTTGAAATATTCTTTTCCTAAGGCTACTTTGCAAGGTTATTAAAAATGCAATTGAAATCTGCTACTTAGGGACAGGTGGCAAATCATCTGACAATTAAGAAATTTTTCTGACAATCATAGACTGGGGCTAAATGATGCTCAAATGGCTTATGTATTCAGTCAGTTCAGGCATAAAAAAAATTCATAATTTTGGTCAGAAGCGTCAGTCTAGAAGCTCTGTGAAATATAGTTCTTGACTTTCTCTTGCCTCTGTTCCTCTTAACRGCTCCTTATACCAGTGACCCATTTCCATGTTCCCATATGATTGCCTTCCATGGGGAAATCAGACTGCAGGATATAAAAGATGATCTTCAATTTCTCTTCTCTTTCTTTATACTTGTCCATTACACCAACACATGAACATACTTCTTCCCTCTTGATCTAAATGTAACTTCAGCACTTCCCCTGCCTTAATGTGTTTTCCTAATTAGCTTTAACATCAAAACCAGCTGCTGCTGCAGTGTTTTTTTTTTACTTTTATAAAGCATTAGAAGATTAATTGACTCATTATGTGGAAACAGGAGGATATAAATTTAGGGGAGCTTTTTGTTTAACTTGGGTTATAAATTGCAGCTCATTTTCTTTATTTATGTTTTCCCTACCCATTACATCTCCCATAACTAAGGGTTTCTGTTTTAGTCTTATAGATGAYGATTTCTTTGTTTCCTCAAAGTGAAATCAATGCAATCTCTAGATATTGGCTACTGAGTTGAAACAAAAGCAAACATTAAAAGCTGCCTGTACKGTCTCTGCCTGTCACGTAAGAGGACTGAGAGTCAGAAGGACTTGGTAATATCCCTGCCATTAACCAGCTTTGGTTTCAGRCAGAGTTGTAGGTGGCCTCTTAGTATAAGGTCCCTCATATGCCAAGTGGAGCTAAAAATGTTGCTATAATAACATGAGATAATACGTGACATAATGTATTTTAAATGAACCATGCAAATGAGATGTATTTAACCTGCGTTATTCCAGCCTGCATAAAAAGAAACAGATTGATTTTATAGCTTTATGTATATAAAAAGGTTTATAAATGTGTGTGTACCTAGTTAGTGATCCCAGGCAAGCAATGTCAGAATCAGAAAACTTGATATTTTTTCATTTTTATTATATTTTACATATAGGCTTAATAAAACTGCTTATAAAATTATCATTATTAATGCTGTTACATTTATCACTGATCTAAGAGTGAAAAGTTGTTTAAGCCATTTGGATGAGGATGCTAAGGAATTGACATGCATTTCTTCATGGAGTCTCACAACAACAGGCATATAAGGTATATATTTTTCCCTATTTTACAGATTAGTAAAACTGATATCTGCAGTATTAAGGGATTCACAGAAGTTTTGTTTAGCTTAGGCTTATTTGGCTACAAACCTCATTTTAATACATCTTTTACTGCCACTTTCTCTCTTCACTCAGCTGCATACCTGTAAAAGGAAGGATCTTGGGAATTTTATGTGGATCCAAAGTTCTGTGTTTCTGCCTCTGGCCTTCACATCCCCCGACCCTCCATTTGGTCCTCAGGGAGCCAGAGCATAGATCTTAGACCAAGAAGTGAGTTGTCACTGGACATGGAGCTCATGGGAGATAKAAATGAGGGCAGGCAGTTCTGAGGACATGCATCTGCCCCAGAATTCTTCCCCAGGAGAACAGTGTAAATCTGGAGGGAGGAAAGAATAAACTATTTAGGAACTCATCTCTAATGGACAAGCCATGCCTTAGCTCCACTGTCAAACCAGCCTTCCAACAACCCCAAGGACCCAATGCTTCACCCACACAGGCTTGTCTGTGTCCTTGAAGGCAGCTCAAACATTGTTCCCCGTTTGCATAAATAGTCATCAGCAGTGCTTTTATCATCTTTCTTGTGGCTGTGACCAAAGCATCTGACAAGAAAAACTTAGAGGATGAAAAGATTATTTGGAGCTCWTGATTTCAGAGGTCTCAGGTCATAGAGGGCCAACTCCATTACTCTGGGCCAGAGGTTCGGCAACTCATACTGGGGGAGGGGCTCAGTAAAGGAAAGCTACTCAGCTCATGGTAGGGTCGAGAAGCACAGAGAGAGGCCTCAGATGAGATTCTACAGTGATCATTACTCCTCAGGTTTTATAGGTGAGGAAACCAAGCTTAGAGATGTCACTTACTATATATCACATAACAATAGTGGAGCTAGGTTCAAATTCAAGTCTATGTGGCTTCAGTGCTGGATCTTTATCTAGGWCATGCTGCTGCTTTCTAAGACCTTTCCAAATATTTCATTCCCTTGGAGTATTAGAATTAGTGGGAAGATTTACTTACTATGAAATACCAAGCAGAGCCAGAGACAAGATATTTTTATGAATTTTTATTCTGATACTCTACTAATTTGATAAAAAAGGTAAAAAAAAAAAAGCCACCAAATCTGAATCCTATACAGGAATAATATTCAACTGTTTCCAAGTTAATACTCAATCCAAACTGACAAGTAAACAACATTATTTAGAGTTACCACTCRTATTATAAGAAATGATTGATTCAATCTAGCAAGAAGAAGTTGGAGGTTAAGATGCAAGTAAGGTATTCCTGAAGGTAGAGGCAAGAAGAGATTTCAGTGGCAGAGAAGTGGCTGGCATGCTGAAACCCTTCTAAGTGAGGAATGATAGTGGTTTTATGGATATATAAAACAAAAAAGCAAATATAGTGTCCATATAGTGAAGGTAACATTAGTCAATTACTAGGGGAGTCACAGAAGAGTGACATAAACTAGCAAGACAGCTTGTTTTACACAGTGGTATGTATTTAAAAGGCCATTGAATTTATGSATTCATACATCACATGTAGCACTTCCAAGTATTATTTAGCCTAGTAAGAAAGTTTCTTAGGCCTGATTTCTATTTTTTTATTATTTATATATGAGAGAAAAATGCATTACAATTCTTATTACACATATAGAGCACAATTTTTCATATCTATGGTTGTATACAAAGTATATTCACACCAATTTGTGTCTTCATACATGTACTTTGGATAATAATGATCATCACATTTGGCCATCRTTTATAATCCCATGCCCCCTCCCTTCCCCTCCAACCCCTCTGCYTGATTTCTCCAAATCCCAGAACATTGACTAAAACAGCTAGCTGGGATTTCTCTATGCAGGATTTGTATTTTTCATCAATTATTTAAAGTGTTTTTTAACTCAAGACTATATAGGCAATAAGGTTGACAGTAGGTCATTACAAAAACAAAGTATATGAAGATTATATGTTTAAGTATAAAAATTGTGTTAACATATATATGCATCAAATTTCATACTTAAACCTAAATGATAAAGCTATTAGCAWCAGTGTTCCCTCACACAGAAAGTTAATTAATGCCAGAGTATCACCCAGTCTGGACTGTGTTATCCTTCAGTCTTTCTGGGCCCATGAACCTGACGCTAGGTGATCCCACTGCAACCAAGTCTCAGCAGTTCCCTGTACATAATTGCTGCAGTTCTGACTTTTGGTATAGTCTCTTCAAATGCATTCCAAGGATGTCTTCTTCTCCCCAGGTGCAGSCTTTTGTTGCTGATGATCTGTGAAGGGATCGATGTGTCTGAATCCACGGTGTCTATGCATAGCTTGGCACTGCCATCTGTGTGCTTCTAGTTTGCCAACCACTGTACAAGTAAAAGAGGCTGAGTTTTTCAGAAGGAGAGAAAACACTTCAACACTGCCCAGAGTCAGTTACTCTATGATACTCCCTGGTTGTAATATATGACCATGACCTTATAAAATGCATAATTTTTCATATGTTTTCAAAACATCAACCTTTCCACTACTAGCAATAAATAAATAAATAGATAAATAAATAAATAAAATGAAAAATAGAACTGGGGACATCACTTCTATACTACAAAAGAAAAATACTGAGAGGTTCCCAAGCAAATGACAAAGGATTATTGGAATAACATTTGTTTACTCGTATGCTTTTACTGTTATAATCGAATGTATAGTAATTCATTCAATAGAAAATGGGAAAAATTTTTGTTTCAAGAAACTCAAAAAATAATGTTGTTCATTTGCAACATATAAACAAYGCACACTCTCTGTTTTGACAGTTTCCAAAATGATTGACATGCATTTCTCAACATTTTACCCATTGTTTTTTCTGTAGGGTCCCCAGTGCCAGTAGGTATAGATGTCCAGGTTGAAAGCATTGACAGCATTTCAGAAGTTAACATGGTAAGTTTCTGAAAGTATGATATCAATAGTAGCAAAATCATTGGTGTTTTAATAAATCATTTGAGTTATACATACATTAATCTTTCCTACTCTGCTCAATAATAATAGGGTTGTAGTTATTTTGTCCRCTTCTACTCAGTTCTTTCTGCCTTTGATTACAATTCCCATTCCTTTCCTACTCTTCTTTTTCCTTCTAGTAGTTTTTCAGCAGTGAGGCACTGCAGAACATCATAATGTATTTAGTTATATAATATGAACTTGGAGCAATTTATTAGAAGGATAACCACAATGTATGTGCACTATGTCATCACAAAGGTGTGAGTTTACCCATAGAAAGACTACTGAATCAAGCTTCATACGCTGCTTCCAGAAGTTTCAACTGATATTAATTTTGCTTATCKGTAAACAACAGAGGATTTTTTGACTCAGGAAACTAAAAATTAAGAAAAGTGCTTCTATTTCCTTGTATTTCCTAGAAATACAGAAGAGATTATCACAATTTTATTTTRMAATGAAACAACCATATTATTTTCATGGAGTACTCTCTACCCACCACTGTCTCTAAAACTTGACACAGATCACTTGCTAATCTCAACCACCTTCCCTGTAGCCTCTCTCTGTCTCCTACACCACTTGGCAGGCTTACTTTTTAAATCTTTGCCTCCCTTACTCCTGGTTTTCTCATTTTAGCCATTTTTAGTGTTTTAATATCCTCTACTGTAATTTTTCCATTTTATTTTCCCTATTCCCAACTTAGAATTACCTTCCTTATCTACATAAGGACAAGAATTATCTTCCTTATCTACATAATGACAAGAGCCATTTTTGTTTATATAGTTTTCAGGGTTTTACTCCAAGAACCCTCCTGACTTGGCGGCTAACTTCCATGCACAGGCCTACACTCCTTTTCCTCTTCTGTTTGTGTGTTAATGTAGTCTCAGGGTTTTGTTTAGCCCCTTTTTGTTTACTTATCTATGCTAAATGAAGAAATATTTATAGTTGTAAACCTTCAGCGTCCATTTCTCTATTCTCACCTAATTTCTGGWCTTCCTTATATCTGAATCATACTTTCCATTTCATTTATTTCTCCTCAGTTCCACTGCCTTTTCCACCATTGGTGCATTTCTTTTGTTTCTAGCAAGTGCAAGTGTATGACAAGGTCTCCACCAGGTACCCTAGTATATAGTAAGATGCAGCTTCTAGCTATGCTTTGCACATAGTTTGCATTTTAATRTTGATCCTCCTGGACCTTAAGTATTAAGAAATTTCATTTTAAATGTCTTTAGATGGAGGCTGTTCCCTCTCATTGGCCCTGRAAACCAGGCCATGCTTTTCCCTGAATTCAGCCAGTCTTTGTCCCAGGACCTCTGATAACTTGCTTTCCACTAGCTCTAATAGAGACTGTACCCAGGTTTTTGCACGACTATAGTTTATTCAATTTGGGAGATCTGCTTTATCAGAAATAACACAAAATTAGGAATACTAAAACAATTTGAAAAGTGGATATTTAGAATAAGCAATAAAATAATAAACAAAATACGAAATCACAATAAAATAATAGACAAAATATTGAAGTTTCAGTTCCCTTTCATTTTCAGTCTRTTCAGGGGATTAGTCAGAATGCTCACATAAAATTGCTTCCCATTGATAACATGGTTTCCCTTCCCAGCATGAATRCTCTATCACTCCAGGAACTCTCAGCATTCACTGAAGTCCATGTGAAGGAGAAGCTCACAAAACAAGCTCATTAGTTTCATCCTAAACCTACCTGAAAATACAATATATGTCAGTCGCCTACAAGTCATCAACACCCATGGCAATCACTCCTGGAACCAAGAGTATTGATCCTGAGCCCCATTTCTACTGGTTTTGATTGGTCTCCTTTTCTCTCTGCCTAGGACTTTACAATGACTTTTTACCTCAGGCATTACTGGAAAGATGAGAGGCTCTCCTTTCCTAGCAAAACAAATAAAAGCATGACCTTTGACCACAGATTGATCAAAAAGATTTGGGTGCCTGACATCTTTTTCGTCCATTCTAAAAGATCCTTCATCCATGATACGACTGTGGAGAACTTCATGCTGCGCATCGACCCTGATGGAAACGTCCTCTTTAGTGTCAGGTAAGGAGGGCTCTCAGTTGCCTTTGCTTCCCTGGACCACAGGCATCTACACGGAAGCTGGTGGGCCTCACTTCTGATTACACTRACCACACTGCTGTCGGTTTAATGGTGATGAGGCACAAGAGAAGGTGCCATGTTCTCTGGTTCTAACACCCAGATTTTAAAAGATCAGTTTCCTATTCTAACTATAGCCATTCCGGGTATATGGGTATATGTTGATTGTACAAATAGACTGAAACTGACCTTTAGAAATACTTAAAAATCTGGTTTACAATTTTCTAGGTATGCAAATCTGCTATTTCTCTTCACCAGCTTCACCCCACCTCTCTACACCAAACGGTGTTTGAATCTCGAGCTAGCTAAGTAATTGACTGTGTTCTTCATTTTTCACRAGAAGGCATAGTCATCATCCAAGTTAGTATTAATTTGTTTATTTCCTTTTCCTCTTTTTTATTTACTTTAGTTTCCTCTTTTTTTGTTCTAATACTATGTATTCATAGCTCTCCACCTTTAATGTTCCATATGTTTTTTAACTAAATGAGTCCTCTACATACTGAGTGACGTATTCTAAAAATGTTTAGTAAACCTGTGCCATTCAATTTTTTTAAAAGTCCTAGAAGTCTCAGAAGTTTCTGTAGTAGTCTGGAAAAGTGACATCCTAAAAGATATCCATCTCTTTATTTCTGGAACCTGTGAAGGTTACCTTTTATGGCAAAACACACACACACACACACACACACACACAAAAAAAAAAAAAAAAAAAAAAAAAACCTTGTAGATGTGATTAAATTAAATATCTTAAAACAGGAAGATTATCCTGGATTGTCTGGTTGGCACTTGAATGCAACCATAAGTATCTTTAAAATAGAAAGGCGGAGAAAAGTTGATAGACTCAGGAAAGCCGCAAACAAGATGACCACAGCCAGGGAATACAGATGGCTCCCAGAAGTTGTTAGATGAATGGATTTCTCCCCCAGAACTTCTAAGGGAACAAGAATTTTCTGATACCTTAATTTTGGCCTAGTGGTACTGACCTCAGACTTCTGGCCTCAAGAAGTGTGACAGAATAAATTTCTATTGTTTTAAACCACCAAGTGTGTTTTAATTTCATACAGTAGCAACAGAAAACTATTATAGGTTCTCTTGCCTATTAAAAAATCTTGTACAAAGGAACTGTTGCTTGCCATTTTATAAAGGTTGTCAATGTTTTTCTAAGTGAAATTAATGAAAAGTACTATTTTCGATGGGACTTTTAAATCAGGAGTAACAGAAGACTTAAAAAAGCTGGGCACAGCGGTTCATGCCTATGATCACATGCCTGTGATCCCAGCCATTTGGGAGGCTGAGGCAGGAAGATCACAAGTTCAAACCCAGCCTCAGCAACTTAATGAAGCCCTAAGCAATGCGCTGAGACCCTGTCTCAAAATAAAACAAAAAGGGCTGGGAATATGGCTCAGTGGTAAAGCACCCCTGAGTTCAATCCCTAGAACCGAAAAAAAAAAAAAAAGACTCAAAAATATTAAAGTCAGTTCTCACTAGAAATTGAAGGCAGAACAACAATATTTGGTCAAAGAATCAAGTGTCTTAATTTGTTTTGATGAGGGGACGACTGGTAAATGATTAACTCACTGGATTTTTCTTACCTTTCATATTCTAAAAAAAAGATTTGGCTCTTGACTGTCTCCTGCAAGGTAATCTCTAATCCCTTGGAATATTCTACCGGATAAAAGTATTTTTTTTGTTTAGCTGTAGTCTGTGGGTCAAGTCAGATAATCCTACATTCACAATGTGACTTGTGGGGGTTCTGAGGATATATGGTATCTGTGTATCCCCTGGAGGGCTAGAGACTAAAGTCAGCCATGTAGGTAGTCAACCATGGCTCTATGACCAACTCTCAATTAAAACTATGGACACTGTATTAGTCATTTAGCATCACTGTGACCAAAATACCAGACAAGAATGACTTAGAGGAGGAAAAGGCTATTTGGCTCAGTTCAGTCCATGGTGAGCCGACTCCATTGCTCTGGGCCCAAGGTGAGGCAGAACATTATATAGAGGAAGGGCCTGCTGAGGAGGGCTGCTCCAGGCACAGTGGCCAGGAAGCAGAAAGAGCAGGGGGAAAGGGCTGCAGGAAAGATGATTCCTTCCAGTGTACATCCCCTGTGACCCTTCCCCTCCGTTCTATAGTTCCCCAGCTGCCTACAGTTACCACCCAGTTAGTCCATTCAAACTAGGATGGATTGATTAGGTTACAGCTCTCACAATTCAATCTTTTCACCTCTGAACTTGACTGCATTAACATAATTGGGGAAACACCTAGTATCCAAACCATAATAGACACAGGCTCAGATGACCTTCCCTGGTTTGTCTCACACCATTGCTGAGGGAATGAAGACCTGTCTACATGACTCCACTAGAAGAGAACAACTGGAAACTTGCTCCTGATTTCCCCTGGRCCTTGCCCTGTGCTCATTTCCTGTTGTTTATTTTAATTCTTTGGTCGTAGTAAAGGGAACCATGAGTACAAGAACTTTGTTGAGTTCTGTGAGTCTAATGAGTGGTTGACCTTGAGGGTGGTCTTGGATATTCCCAAACTCAGGAAGATTCAAAATTGTTGTTGGCACAGCTCTTCCAGCCAAGAACAGAGCCAATCCAAGCTCAGAGTCCTATTACCTGGTTCCAGGCTTGGTTCTGACATTGCCTAGCCACYTTAAATCCTTGCTCATTAATTTCTTTATGTGTACTATGTAGGAGATGGACGGGAAGACCTCCCGGGTCCCTTCCAGCTTTAAAACACTGGGAATGCACCAGAATGAATGTATTTCACTTACATAAAGCTGTCCAGCTCTTCCCTAGCTTGGTGTTTTGGTGTATGACTTTGACAGTAGAATTCAGCCACAGAAGATAAAATAATTCTACTCCTCTGATTATCTCAGGAGCACCCTGGGTAGGAGCATCTGTTGCCCTTTGTTTTTTGGTTTTTGTTTTTTTTTTTTTTTTTTTTTTTTTTTTTTTTTTTTTTTGCAGACTTGCTTGGAGGCCTTTATGAACCTCTGATCTGCTATTCTGGGTAGCAAAGTTTCTACTTTGAGGCAAGATCATAGTACAGCAGCCTCTGCCTGAAGCCAGGAAAATCTAGGAGGATACAAAAATTGAAAAAATATAAACCTCATCAGCATGCAAGCCTTTTTGCTTAATAGCACCTGAATTATGCATTGTGCACATAGATCTATGACTAAACATGCTCCAGGCTTTCCCCCTCACTGCTGGAAAGAGAATGTCCTCAACTACATTTGCTTTGTGAAGGAAACCTTTACCTGTAGATTTTTTATTACTTACTATTCCAACCCTTTACGACTAGAGACTACTTAAGTTTTGGTCTTTCAAAGAGCAGAAAATATTTAAATCTATTTAGAAATGTCTCACTTTGAAGTGTATTTTTCTGAAAACATCAGCACCAGAAAACACTGAGGGGGATGACCAGGAGATGATGAAATCAGAAGCAGTTGTGAGAGTGGGAACACACTCATCAATCCRTGTCTTAAGCAATTATCATCCATCCTCCTGGTTTGCTTCCTTGTGCATTATTTGGACAAAAGATAGTAACGCCCATTTTCCATTATTCTTGAAAGGCACACAAAACAGGCGAACAATAAGGAAGCTTCAATGTTGCGTGCTAATTTGACCATATGGTTAAATGATCTGCAGTTCTCTTTTTCTCATTCCTTTTATAGGATAACAGTTTCGGCCATGTGCTTAATGGATTTCAGCAGGTTTCCTCTTGACACTCAAAATTGTTCTCTTGAACTGGAAAGCTGTAAGTCTTATTTCCTGATACAGTGAGTCCATATCATCTGAACACAACATCACATGCTTGCACAGAAATAATTATGGTCTTAGCAAGCGTTTAAACATCTTGGTGTGTTTTTACAAAGTGGTGGGAATTTTGTTTTGTTTTGTTTTTGCTTTTGCTTTTACTAGCAATGATGGCAGTTTATCTTTCAAATGAGAAGATTCAGAGGAAAAAAATGCTTTCATCATTACTTGTTTGTTGCGGTTTCCACATGGTTATAAGCTTCCTAAAAAGGTATATTCTTCTAACATTTTTATGTAGGATGACACACACTTTCCACATCTGGAAAGCTCTGGAATTTTATTCTTAAATCTAGTCACAATCCTCCATTAAGTGTACGGATTTCCCCAGGAAAACCCCACTCTAGACGTAGACCTCTAATCAAAGTTCTGTAAAAGGAATGCTTATCCAGCTCCTTGTCATTTACTTTGACCCAACAGCTATYTTTGATAAGACATCTTAAAAATTGACTGCAATTTTTCATAATGTGACCAAAATACTGGGATAGACAATGTATGTCTTCTACATATACATTCTTTCCCAGATCTATTAGAAAACTTTCTATAACAAAATGTGATTCTAGAAGAAAATTTCTTATAGGCTATGTTTATTTTTTAATTTCTTTTTTTTTAATGGTACCAGGAATCGAACCTAGGGGTGCTTAATCACTGAGCCACATCTTCAACCCTTTTTTATATTTTTCTAGAGACAGGGTCTCACTGAGTTTCTTAGGGCCAAGTTGCTGAGGCTGGYTTTGAACTTGCAATTCTCCTGCCTCAGCTTCCTGAGCCGCTGGTGTTACAGGCGTGTACCACTGGGCCCTGCTCATTTTAGAATTTCATCCATGAGAGGTGCAGAATTAAAAAATCATGAGATCCTGGATCAACCCTGACATTGTGAAGCAATGCTATGGCGTCTCTCTGAGGTGACACYTGGCTTCATTTTGTGAGAGAAGGCACCTAATGGGGGAGCAGCTATTTGGAGAGTTTTAACCAGACAAGCTTGTGGGCATCAGACAAGCTTCCACACACTACTATTCATCAAGTTGTAATTTTTCAAGGATTCTTTCTTCTTTTTAGAGGAGTGGATATGATCAGTCTATTAGCAAATGCTTGTCTACACCTAAAATATATATGTCATTGGACCAGGCACTCGTGTAACCAAAACATGATTATAGGCCTCGAGTAACTTCTAAGAGCTTTTTGCAGTTACAGGAATGGTATTGTCTTGTTTCAGATGCCTACAGTGAGGAGGATCTGATGCTCTACTGGAGATATGGGAACAAGTCCTTAAATACTGAAGGGCATATTTCCCTTTCTCAGTTCTTCATTGAGGAGTTCAGCGCATCCAGTGGATTAGCTTTCTATAGCAGCACAGGTACAGCATTTTATGTGACCAATTCATCAGCATTTATTGAGCCCCTATTCTTTGCTAAGTACCACAACATATGAAGAAACCTGAATCCAAGCAAATGTCCTATTTGGCCAAAAATATCACCCAGCTGACTGCCTCTACTGTTCTAATACACCATTTCTCACCCCTCATTCAGACACCTCTAACCTCATGCCTTGCTTCCTCTCTGCCACCTCCATTCTATTCTCAGTACAGCAGAGAGATCTTTTGAAACATAAAGATCATAGTTCTTTCCTGCTCAAAAACTTCAGTGTTTTTCATCACATTTAAAACCGGATTCAAGCTTCTCAACATGGACTACCTCCTGCCTGCTGCTCTGACCTCACCCAATGTCAAAACAGTGAATAGAATATTGCAATATTTCATGCTAAAAATGTGTTATATATAAAGTATAAAAATCCATTTATATTATTTCCTGCACTGTGTAGATAGATATAGATATAACATATATAATAATGGTAATGATATTTCTTAAGATTTGAAGCAAAAGTATCCACAAATATAATCCAGCTCTTCTCTTTAAAAGAAAAGGTTAAATTTCACTTCCATATTCTAACTCCCCCCCCAGCCCCACCAAGATACTCCATTGACTCTACTATCCCTCTATTTGTACTTGTTAACCTTTTGAGCCTTGCCAGGTAGGCTCAACACTAGTTGATTTTTTTTTTTTCCTTCTGGTCATGTTTTGGAGTCTGTCAAAATTCAAACTACTTACACTGGAAATTTTACTTCTTACAAAGATGCTTTGAAGTGTTTTAAAATAAATTAAAAATTCTTAACATTCAAGAAATAGAATTTTGGTTCCTCAGAAAATTGAGAAACAATAGAATTAGGGTTGAATGTRCAGTTGTACATGGCATGAGATGGAGAATTATTCATAATCAATTTTTAAAAATTCAAAAAGCGTTTTACAAAAGACTATATACATGTAATGCATTCTCATGTTTGTTATTGAAGAAAGGATTAAGCACATGTGTGTGCTTGTATATGTGTGCATTTTAAATGTCTACAGATTTAATCAAAGATATGTCTGAGGAGTGGGTATAGATTGGGGAGATTTTTTAATTTTATTTTAGCACTTTGTATTTTTTCATTTTGCTAATATGTACACATTTTAATGAGAAGGATTAAAATGGATTCTAAGGGTCAGAAAAGATACAAGAGTAAAGCATTTTGGAAGTTGTATTCAAATATTAAATTAATAATCATAACTGAGTTCCCTTCATCAAAACTATTCCCAAGGTTTCAGAAAGATCATATTTAGACATTTATTTCAGTTCACAAATATGTGATAATTCTGACTCATATTTATCTATGAATTTTTTAACAAGGTCTCCTGAAAGTCAAACTCAAGTGTCTTTCCCAGATTAGTATCCTGTCTAAATATATAAGCTTCATCAAAAATATTTTTGACACTTTTTTTTTCCTACCAGATTAGATCCCTAATCATATTTAGAAAACAGAATGACACTTTTTTTTCATTTCTATCATTTACAACCATCAACTGTACCCACTACTCTCAAATCATCTATACAGAAAAACTCTGGTTAGAAGAGCTAGAAATATAGTTATGGAATCTTAGTTTACATTTTACAGCTGAACCACAGGGTCCTCACTTTTTTCCTTGGCTTCACTTTCAATGCTCTCATTGCCACTATACAAAAAAAAAAAAATACTATCTGGCAACATTAACAAGTGGGTGAGGGCTTCTGCCCCTCAGCTCTTTYGATGTGCCTCCAGATGATGTACTCTGGATAGACAAAGTAAAAAGAAATGGCACCTGCCCCAATGGATTAGTTTTCATAGCATAATGCACTTGCTGAAAGTGTCTGTACTGAGCAGAGGCTGCCCAAGCTCAAACCCCAATCACTTATTAGCAATGTGGCCTTGGATGAGTTGCTTCATCGCTCTAACCCTCAATTTCCTCATCTCTAAATGGGTTTCATAATACTCTCTACCTCATAAGGCTGTGAGGATACATGAATTTATACACCGAAACAACTTGGAGTACTATTTATTTCTGAGATGGTGAATTCTCAATAAATATTAGTCAGCAGGCAATATCACCTCACTATCTTCATCAACATCATGATCTTTTGAATACAGTCTAGGGCTTTAGTGTCAAAGGCCATTGAAGGTAACAGTTTTCTGGGTATAAAAACTTGCTTTGTCTTGGTATTTACTTACTCCTCCAATACTGCCTCTCTGTTTCATTTTCCTGGCTGCCAATTCTCCAGCCATTTTCTCTAATTTCTTTTTTTCTACAGTCTGGCAGTTGAATGGAGGTAGATGGACCCCCGCACACAATCCAAAATTTGGTTCAGATGTCAAACTGATGATGCCATGCATGTGATAAATGATATGAAAAAAAAAATTCTTATTCACATAATGGATTTTCTAGAAAGAGCAGCACAGGCTCCCAAGTAGGTCTAAAAATGTGTTGAGAGAACAGAGAGGCATGGCTGGGTTTTATGGAGGTTTGGGAGTGGAGCTAAGCAGGGGTTCCCTTTCATGTGTCAGGACTGCCTGTTTGAACTTCTCAAAGATACACCAGAGAGTGCACTTGGGCTTTTTTTTTTTTTCATTAGGAAGTAGAAGTAGGGCTTCAGAGCTCTCAGCACTCCAACATCAACCTGGAGTCAGACTCTATTACATTACTCAAAATGATGGCTCCACACTGTTTCAAGGTAGCACTACTTTTCCTGGTAGGTAAAGGAATTTCTACTGGTCTAGATTTAACCACAATACCATTTCCAGTCTTCTCTTTCCCTAAGAACCACAAGACAAAGTAGCATTTCTCCTTTCTGGTTACCCCCACCCCAATCTCAGAAACTAGATAATCATTCTCCAGAAAAGTATGAATAAAGGAATGGTACAAGATGGGGATATAGTTCAGTGATAGAGCACTTCCTCTGCATGCACAAGGCCCTGGGTTCAGTCCATAACTTCAGAAWGATTGCAGTTTCCTAAATTTATTTCAAGACTTAATAATAAACTGCCAACCACTTAGGTGGTCTCTGTGTCTGTGGGTTCTATCTTCATGGATTTAACCCACCCTAGGCAGCAAATATTTTATAAAGGACTTCTCTGCTGAACCTATACAGAATTTTTGTCATTGTTATTCTATAAACAATACAATATAACAACTATTTATATAGTAMTTAAATTATTAGGCATCACAAATAATTTAGATATGATTTAAAGCACACTGGAGCATGTGCATAGRTTATCACAATTTTATGTGAGGGACTTGAGCTTCCATAGATTTTTATGTCCCAGGGGGTCTTGGAACCAAGGATAGATGATTGCAGATGTTTATATTCCCAAGGAATGATTATACAGTTATTATGACTTTCTTTATGAATTACTTTAATAGGTATTCCTTATTGCTTTTAACCTCACAGTAATTATATGAAGTTATCAGGGTAAATGTGATGTTATTGTACCCTACAGTCACAATTTAAACTCTCAATTGCACACAATAATAAAGTGAGGGACACATATGAGATAATGTATAGCTCCAAAAAATGTATATTTTAACCTTATAATGAACTGAGAGTATCTTTCATTACCCCTGGAAATGAAATTGTTTGGTGTTCTTGAATCGTATGTTTCTTCTTTTTTTCCAAGAAGGAAACTCTATTAGGTTGGCACCTTCTAGAATATCAGGCTTATTTCTCTTTTCTATATTCAAAGAAAAACTTAATCAAATATCCATCTTTAGGTTACAGATACTTTAAATAAAAAATATTGACAATCATATGTTTCTTAAAGCATATATATCAACTGACAATGAAAGTGAAAATTAGAATGTGGTTGAGAAAGAGAGAGAGAGAGTTAGAGAGAAAAGGATAATGAGCACTTAAGGATAGGAGACTAGGAGAAGAGCCTGCCAATTCCGTGTGGGTTAATTTGGTCTATATTTTAGACCTCATACCTAAATGTTTGTCAGATCTGTCCAAAAGGTGCCATCTTGAGTTTTCTACAAAAATCATTACTAAAACTAGTAGAAAGGTTCTCTAACTTTGCAATACCTCTGATTTTGTTTTATAATTTATAACCTATAGCCTCTGTTTTTAATAATTTCAATGAAAATAAACTGCATTTATCATAGAAAAACTAATCTTACCGCTTATTCATAGCAAGTGTATTTTCATGCTTATTCACTTCATCATTCATTGCTTTGTTTTTAGTAAAGATTAAAAGGTTGGCATCACAGTTATTGTGAAATAAAGCAAGGTAATATAAGCTGGAAACATGTGAGTGAGAAAGAAAAAAGCAAAGCAAGGTAAAGAATTGAATAAAATCTGATGTGTGGTCATGTAAGAATGGTGCTCAGAGAAGTCCTACATATGATTCCCCCCCACACAAAAAAAATGGCTCTATACTTCCTTCTGATCTGTGTGAAAAGGGAAACCTGAACGAAATATTTGTGTGGATATGACCACAATTTGTTCTGTTAATCAGACCAATAACAAATACTACCAATAGAGTCTATAACTCCAACATCATGAAAAGAACATTATCTTTTGGTTTATTTTTTGCAGATTTATCACAGTCACATTATGGTGTCCATGAGTCTTTAAAGTAATGAAAATAACTTAGAGATGGCCTTCTCTCTCCTATTTGAATTTCTAGATGTCTAGATTCCAAGTTAGAATGCAATGACCTAGTACCTACTGTGAAGTTTTTCTTTTAGATAAAATGTTCTCTTCATTTGTTATAGCTAATGAAGAGCTTGTTGACTATTACATGCAAGCATCAATCATGCGTTGAAGACTGTCCTTCTTGTAAAAACATAGCAAGTATAATATATTATCTTTAAAGGCCACCTCACATAATATAATTACCATTCATCCCTGAACTGCAGAGACAAATAATTAAGCATGCTGGGACTGGGATTGTGACTCTGGTAGAGTGCTCATCTAGCACGTGTGAGGCACTGGGTTCGATCCTCAGCACCACATAAAAATAAATTAAATAAAGGTATTGTGCCCATTTACAAATAAAAAAATAATAACTAAGCATGCTGAAGTTTAGGTCATGGAACAAACATTAGTGGAGTGCTAGGCTCACTCAGGTTCCAGCTAGGGCTGGAAAAAGAGTTGCATTTATCCAGCTTCATATCCTCTAAGAGCTTTGAGTTTCAAGAAGCAGATCACATCACCAAGTGTAGTGTGGCCAGAAGGAAGCCTGTTCTAATGGAAACTTTGGCTCTTTTTTGTAGGTTGGTACTATAGACTTTTCGTCAACTTTGTGCTAAGGAGGCACATTTTCTTCTTTGTGCTAAAAACCTATTTTCCGGCCATGTTGATGGTGATGCTTTCATGGGTTTCATTCTGGATTGACCGAAGAGCTGTTCCTGCAAGAGTGTCCCTGGGTAAATAAATCTTTCCACATCTTGTAAAATGCTAGTAAGGGAGAAAGGCCAGGAGGTAAATATAAACAGTACTGCATGGAGGGGGAAGAGAATGGTGGTGTAGTGGGGATGCTTAGCTATGTACATTAAGATTACAGTATTTACTTTGCCAGCGTCTAGTGCAAATTGAAATTATAATTGGGCTCCTTTCTTGGGAACAGAGGCTTTAGGGATGAAGCCTGTGCTGTTGATCCGTCTCTGAATAATGGTAAGGAAAGAAGGTGAATTATGAATCATAAACAGTCTYACTTCAAAAGGCTCTCTTTTCCCTTCAAAGAATCCCTCTCCTTTACCTGTGGTCATTTAGCTTTGCATGAAAAACCCTTACATCATAAAAGAAAGAAACTTTAAGCTAATTCACATTATGTTGTTAGTATCTTAAAAATTTTCTGGGGGAGGTGCAGAGAATGCTTGAAGTTGGGAATGTGAGTGCTGATTAGAAATATGGGCTTAACTCAAAGGCCAAAGTCAGAAGCATCCACAGTGGAATAATAGGTGCTGTAGCACATTAGTTGGCATGAGATCTCAGGTGGAGAGACAGTGCCAGCCTTATTAAGTCACCACACAGGGGTGATTATCTACTCCATCTAGTATTTTATATGCCCCTGTCACAAACACTGATTTATGGGAACCATTTCAGACCCACTTAGCGGTTATAGAGTCCTTACAAARTGGAAGGTGCCAAGCTAAGCACTTAGATGACATGTTACTTAATGAGGACTGGAGTGAATCCCACTTGCTTTCTTGACTGGTTCAGGGCAGAGCTCCCTCATTTCATCTAATTTTGTTCTTTCACCTGTAATGCTCTATCTAGAGGGAAGACTGTGGTAAGTGCTTCACAATCATTGCAATTATCACACAATTCATTCCAGAAAGGATGGTTTTGAAGTTAATGTTCACAAATTATATGCATACTTCCAAAGATCATTTGAAAGACATAAATTATTAATATTAATAATTTGTTCACCTCTTTCCCTTATTAAAAGCTTCAATCTGCAAGCATTTGAGGTTTGCATATCTGCAAGGAAAAMATAACATTTGAATGAGTAATTGAATTATTTTGACTCTGTCTTCACATCAGAGCATCTGTGTCCTGACCTCAGTACTGCAGCAGGGCAGCATAAACCCAAAAAGGAGATGAGGGGCACATTTCTAGCCCTAAAGACAGGATGAAAAAGGCACTCTGAAAGGTTATGAACATAATTTTCAGTGAGATTCCTCAAGTTGACTCCTGATCTTAACACTATGAGAATGACAGCTATAAGAGCCAGTTCTGGGGCAGGTTGAAATGAATGGAGAACATGGACACACTACTTTTAAGTTGTTCTAGGAATTCTATGCTTTTTACATCCACATCTGACCACTTAGAATTAGAAAATTCTATGCAGATTTATGTAAAATAGTATACAAATAAAAATGTACCCCGCCCTTATTAAAATAGAACAGGCATTCCTATAATACTGCATCTTCTCCAGGCTTAAGATTCCTACCACCCTAAATTTTTTCTCAGGGATATTTTGCCCTGTGTTTTACTCTGTCTTCCAAATGCTCTGACACTCAACGCCCCGAAAGTCCCCGAGACTACCTCTGCCCACTCCACTTGCCTTTTCTCAGCTGCTTCACCTTCTCTGCAAAATTTGACTTAGTAAACATTCTCTCCAAGTCCAGAACCAAGGACAGTGGTCAAGAGTTCAGCCTCATCTTCCTCATCTGCAAAATGAGATTATTATTAATACTTCCAAAGGTCACTCAGATAATTTAAATGGGAGAATTAGTATCAACTGTCTAGCTTGATGCCTGGTCCTTTGTATTGGATGAAAATTATCAGGCAAAYAATACATTTGTTTTCTGTGCTCTGGTTTTTCTCCTCCTGCAGATATATTTCTCTTTCCTACTTTTTACTTCTTCCTTTTACTCCTTAATTGTGAGTAACTCTCTCTCAAAGATTTGTTCGTATTGGAGTTTCCTATCAAATCCTTTTGGTCCCCAATTACTACCCTTATGAATGTAAATTACAAATCTGTGTCCTTGTGTCAGATCTTTCTCTCAAGTTCCAGATGAGTATTTCCAAGTTCCTGCTGGATTTCACCTTCAGGTTCTAAGGGAGCTCAGCATCTTCAGAAATGAACAAACTACTGCCTCTTCCCACCTCATTTTCATTTCCTTTCTTTACTTTTCATTCTGTTAAGGAGACCACAATTCACTGAGTCTTTTATCTTTGAAGCCTCAATTTCCTTCTTAGTCTTCAGCAATGGTTCTCAAACTCTGGTGTTAGGACTTAATTTATACTCTTAAAAATTCTTGAATACCCTAGAGAATTATATCTAACATTCTTAGCCATAATAGATTTAAAAACATAAATATACATATATGTATATATATGTATATACATATATATATAAATTTATACATGTATATGTATAAATTTAAGGATAGCAATAATAAAGTCATTACAAGTTAACATGATAAAATATTGTATAAAAATAATTTTTAAACAAAAAAAATAGTGTAGCATTGTTTTATATTTTTGCAAACATTTAACATCTGRCTCTAGGGCAACTGAATTCTTATCCTTGCTTCTGTTGCAGGACTGGAGCCTTCAGGAAACTGAGCTAGTGCAAAAGCCCCCCCTTGGAATTTTGATTCTTGTGATCATGTCAGAAAGATTTTAGATGTGTCGCTCAGAGTAACAGGCAATGAGTTTATTGAAGGGATAGAAAAAGGGAAAGGGATACTCTGAAGGAAGAGAATGGGTCCTCTCAGAGAAGAGACAACAGTGTACCTCTCCTGCTCTCCAGTTTTATTGTGGATCTCAGAGAATTTTCCAGAAGGTCTCACCCAGGTTCTTGACTGACAGCAGAATGACATCAGACTTTCAAGTCCCTACTACCCTGACAACTCTCAGCCCATACTGACTGGTTCTAGTTGGATTCTTAGCCAAACATTCTTACAGATTTTATGGTTAGAAGAATTTACCTTTATCTCCCTGAGTTACAGGATCTAATCTCTGAAAAGGATCACAAACTCACATATATTTCCCCCTTCAGGTTAACTTGGATTTTTGTTTTTGTTTTTGTTTGTTTGTTTTTATAGTAACAGGCATGAGTTTATTAGAAGGAACTGGAAAGGGGAAAAGAGGGCACTCTCAAGAGAGAGAAGTGGCTCCTCTTAGAGTGGCAAACTCCACTGCATCTCTCCTGTCCTTCAGTTTTATTGGGATTCCTAGGGAAGTTTCCAAAGAGTCCCACCAAGTTTCACCTCTTGACTTAATTGACAGCATAGAAATTGCATAGATCACCTCAAAGAGGATGGTATGGTGCTCAGAGTTGGGAGGTTTAAGGAAATTGGGTCCCCTGTTTTATTTTATACTTTGAACAGCCCTCAGCAAGCTTTCTTTGTGAGAGTTTAGATTTTTTTTGAGAGAGAGAGATTTTTAATATTTATTTATTTTTTTTTAGTTTTCAGTGGACACAACATCTTTATTTGTATGCAGTGCTGAGGATCGAACCCGGGCCACATGCATGCCAGGCGAGCGAGCTACCGCTTGAGCCACATCCCCAGCCCAAGAGAGTTTAGATATTTTGATTGTCAGAATACTTGGGAGTTGTGATAACTTTGGTGATAAAGGAGGGTCCAGGCCACCTGGTAGAGTGGGACATGATCTTGAAACAATATTTTTTCTTAAGTGGATGTAATTTTGGCTGAGGGAGATTTTAACACCCCTGGGCCCATTTTCTAGGTGTTTGCCTTATTCTTAAGGCTCCCCATGGATTTTAGTCAACCTTTATTGTCCTTTCCTTCCTTACCCACTCATGGCTGATGAGCTACTTAACATTACTCCCCTAGAGGACTCAAATTCCTAAATTCTTTTCCAGTGTTTAGGTATTGATTGGAGCAAGCTACTTCCTGCTGAGACAGGGTAAAGTTGGGAGGGAAGTGACCCTAAATTCTAGTTCTCTATCAGTGGGGCATAAACATTAAGAGTATTTAGCACTAGGGCAGTCCAAAAGTCCAAGCTGGTAGCAGGTGAATAACTGGACAAAGCATACATAGGGCAGGGCTCATGCTTAGAGGTGAATTAGAGTTCCCACCAATGTGAGTCTTGAGTGAGGTCCCAGGATGTTCTACTCATCTGGAGATAAAGATGAGAGACTAAGAGGAAGAAAAAAATGTCTCCTCACCCTAATGGGCATTGAGGTTCAAAATCTTATAATTGCTGGCCTTCATATTCTWCAAAAGCATCCCCTTTGCCAAGAACCTTTACAGTTGCCAGTGGGTAAGATTTGCCTGCGCCCCCTCCCCAAAAAGACCAAGGGTAAAAGCCTCCATTCCTAAACCTAAGGTCTATGACATCTGAGTTTCAATCAAGAAATCTTTTGGTCCTCACTAGAGTGTGCTGTAGCCAAAAATAAATAAATAAATAATGTCAAGATGTTTCCGCTAGTCACTAAGAATCTGAAGCGGAAAATACAGGTTCAGAAGAGACTAATGAAGAGGGTAGCCAGGAAATAATCAGGGTAATACGCAATAACCAGGCAGCAAACACCAAACATGACACCAGTGCAAACACCAAATGCACAAAGCTGAGACAGTTGAGGAGGGCCCCTCTTCATCCTGATTCTTGCTATCATGCCAGAAAGATTTCAGGCGTGCCTTTCAGAGTAGAGGCATGAGTTTATTAGAAGGGAATGAGTAAGGGGAAAGGGGGACATTCTCAAGAGAGAGTGTGGGTCCTCTCAGGAGAAGGAATCAGCTTTCGTTTTAGTATACAGAATTATTTCACATATATTTCTTGTTTCATCAACCAGACTGTTTTACAGTGTGCATTCAAGAGCCATAATTTAATAAAATTAACACTTTTTGCTGTGAGTGCTGGGAGGTGGAAAATACAGTGACAACTGGGTCAGCTTGGTGCTGCAGACTTGGTTCACACTGAGGCAACCAGCTGTGTTACTCCCACA